TTTTATTACCTCTTATGTTCTCTGTTCTGCTATGATTAATGAATAGATTGAAAATTTCTCTCGCAAATAATAATAATAGTTAAAGTTTCCAATATAAATGCAAAAAATTACTGCTATGTACACTTAAATTTAGAGGATTGGAAAGCACGTAAATTAACATAAGAAATACTGGACACACCACAGAAAACAAATAAGTATAAAAAGAGGTTTGAGCTGATGGTAACATCTCTACATAATAGAGTGCGAAATTATTAATTTTTAGGAAAGACATCTTTAAAATTTCTATCTTGTGAATCAAATAGCTTGGAAGCGTCGGACAAAAATTAGTTAGGAGGTGCCGAATAAGAGAGATAGGTATGAAAGTAGAAATAGCTTGAAGGTACTAGAGGATTGCTCAGCAGTTTCCAAGAAAACTTAGAGAAAGTGCAAGTTTTCCAAGCATAACACTCTCTGATCACCAGGCTCGGTACAACCGGCCGATTGGTCCTGAGATACCGAGATTGTTTAAATTGGTGGAAATGAGAGTTTGAAGGGGATTTTTTGTGATTGCTTGGAATTCCGGATAAAGTGGCCACCTCTAGATCTTTTGCGTGTGCCCTCTTTATCATTGTTGTCCTTAGACTTGATTTGGGATATTTGACACACTTAAATCCTAGTAAATTAGAAACTGAGGGCTTTGGAGTACAATCATCTTGAGAACCAAAAGGCGAACCAACCTGTGGTTGGATGGTTAGGAGGACAGTGTATCCTGGATTTATTTCAAGCCTTTCGGCAATGTGCGCTCGGTGGGAGAAGACATTTCTGTCGACTCTGAAGGGGTCGTGGCAACTAAGCCGGCGCGGGAGTGGCAATGGTGCAGATCCAGAGCTGCCCCCCGGTGTCGACCTTCGACAGCTCCAACTTAATACGGAGGGCCAGCTCCTCCTCAACGTCGTGGTCGGAGCCCGAGCAGCTACCGGAGCTTGGCATGTCGTCGGATTTGATCTGAATCAAAGAGGAGAGAGGAGGGGACGGAGCGAGAGAGGAGAGTGGGTGATCTAGGCTTCAGAGAGTGGGCGAATTGGAGTATTTTTGTGTGTGGACGCCATTGGGGTCGGTGGTGGGCCGGGCTGACGTGGCAGACGCTACATTTGAGCTGGATATAAGGGGTACCGGACAGCCCAGACGTTTGAGGCCTGTTTGAGGCGTCTAGGTGGGTCATTTTTTTACCGGTCAATGACCAGTCCGACCGCGCGCGCATTTGAGACCTTAACAGTGTTTATTTCAAACAAAATCCAATGTCATCAACTTATATACTACTCCCTCCGTTCTATAATATAATAATGTTTTTAACACTATATATTTCATAAATTTTCTCATGTTTTTAAACATCAAATTATTTGTTAACAGTTCCCACAGCAATGCGCGAGAATCATCTAACTGAACTAGTATGTTGTACACTTTCACGAACCAACCTGTGGTTGGATAGTTAGAAAGACAACAGTATCCTCAGTCCACCAGGGTTCAAGCCCCGATGTTAGAATTTATTTGACTTCGTAATATCTTTGAGTCAATTACACCGGTGGTGCTAGAACTTGTCGTGAACGATCACTTTGATGCTAGAACTTGCGGAATACATCGAACTGGTGTAAAACTTGGCTCGCCGTGCAAATACGATGCAAATCACGTTTGGATACGAAAATGGCGCTGACTAGGCTCGCCTACACGGCGCGGGTCCTGCTGTCAGTGACTGAAAGGCAGGAAGGAGGGCGCGTGGTCTGTTTTTCACAAAAACACTCTTGTTTTTTATTGGCACATTAGAGCTCTGCTCACGTTGGAGAGTTGTCATGTTTTCCGCCTCTGTGAACAGTCCGTCCCGCCTGTTAGTACAATATGAAAATTTGAAACAAAATCTCGAACTTGCTATCATATAGATGGGAAACAACCGGTCATAGGCACTGCACCAACAACGTCATCACATCTATAGTTCATAAGTCCTTTGTAATGTAGTAGAACAAAGTCGCTCCTGGAGTTTCCCTTTTTTAGAAATATGTATAGGTATGTAAATTCTAATCTCACTAATAAAAATAAAGTTTAATTATTCTTGCAGTATAAATAATACATAAAACGGAAGAAATTCTTTAGAAAATAATTCACACATTATTTTAAATAATGCATATATCTAAAATAATATTTATGAAATCTAAAAATGTTTTATACCGTAAAACGATACAAATAAAGCCAATTTTGCACTGCTTTTTTTAGAAATTTGTAGAATATATATATATATATATATATATATATATATATAATAACTTTATAAAATATTTACGTATTAATTTAAAATTTATCCATATTGACATTATAAATTACAGAAATATTCATGTAATAATATGCATATAGAATAAAATATGTCAAATTTATTTTATATTTTTCCGTATATTTTAGTAAATGCTTATATAAGTTTAAAAATGTTCAGAGTTTTCACAAAATATTGATTGATGTACTCCCTCCGTCCTAAAATTTTTGTCTTAGATTTGTCTAAATACAAATGTATCTAGTTACGTTTTAGTGTTAGACACATCCGTATCTAGACAAATTTAAGACTAGAATTTTGGGACGGGAGGGAGTAATATATAAAAGTGTTCATGTTTTATGATTTTTTATATACTTTTAAATATTATAATAGAATGCACTTTGTGCGGCCCATTTTGCACTATTACTTTATATAAGTTTACATAATATATGTAAATTGTAATCAAATTTTATAAATATGTATACATAATATATATATATATATATATATATATATATTTCCATTTATGAATTAAAATTATCCATATATTCGAATTATAAATTACAAAAGTATTCACATTAGAATTTGCATAACTAACAAAACATAAAATTGATTTTTATTTTTTATATATTTAATAAGTGTTCATATATGCTTAAAATGTTCACAGTTTTAATAAAATATTCATGCGTATAAAGTGCTCATTTTTATAATTTAACTTATTTTGCTAATATGTATATTTTTTGTAACACATGATTATAATATAAATAGATTTTGTAGTCTACATAGGACGTGAAGGGTACATGACGTAGGTTAACCATTGGCGGAAGCTAGCAAACCTACACGTTTCAATTCCCAGTGCTTTATTTTTTTATAGTTTATGAGTGGCTGATATATGGAACCCATATGGCCAGCATTTTAACATGTTTCAGGGGCTATTTCGTGAGGACAAAAAGATTCGAGTTTCTTTTTGGTAAAATAATAGGCCGCATGTCATCTGTGATGACTGACAGCGAGACTTTTTTTTTGCATGGTAATACGTGTCTCATTTATATAGAATAAAGATCAAGTTACAAGGCACGTAAGCACCGACCATACATGACTGAAAAGATAGGAAAATCCTATGCAAAATACTAGCGCCTGTCCCTTTCCTTCGACACCACCGAAGCGGTCACCAAAGGGTAAAAAGACAGATCACCTCTTCGTCCAAGCTCGACGCGGCTCCATCGCTGATCAACAGTTTTACGGACCTCCAAAGTAGTTTGCCAAAAGCAAAACCATAGCCGTTGAAAGAATCAGACCGGGGCAACATGTCCCGGACACGCCATCGAACTTCAGAACTGACACCCTCGCATGACGACGACGTCGGAGAAGGAAACCAGAACTGCCCGCCTTCGACCACAGACCCAACACAAGATACTCCATCTTCCAGCTGTCACTTGCGTAGACAAACCGCCTGCGCGTACTCCTGAACGACAAAACCTCCCTGCTCCACCATGACGCCGGAGACAACCCCACAGCAACGGGGACAGAGCAGAAGGAGAGACACCTGATGGAGTTGCCGCCACCGCCTCGTCAACACCATCCATGAACCCTAACGCTGTCGATCTGAGGGATCGACAGAGACACGATGCCATCAACTCCGAGACGCCGCCATGAAGGACACCGCCGGTGTGGGAGTGGGGTTGAGGCAGATTTATTCGTCCGGGCGCCGCTCCCACAACCCCAACGACGCACCACGACCTACAAATCCAAAACCTAACTACAGAGCGGAGGAACGGGTCCTCCCTCCCTCCTGCCGCCAGAGCAGCAGTCGAAGGGAGAGGGGGCCAGCGCACCGACCGGTGCAGATCGGAGGAAAAAGTGCCTCGCCCTAGTCGCCTGGTGACGGCGGCGGCTAGGGTAGGAAAAAGTGCCTCATGCAAGTGAGCCTAGTCAGTGTCGCTTTCATATCCAAACAGATTTGCATCGTATCTGCATGGCCAAGCTAAGTCTTTACACTAGTTTGATGTATGCCGTAAGTTGTAGCATCAAAGTGACCGTTCACGACAAGTTTTAACATCACTGGTGTAATTGACTCAATATCTTTTATAGGGGCGAGTGTAAGTGCGTATGAGCGCATACGTCTGTATAGTATTAAAAAAAGTATGTTGTACACTTTTTATAGCCACGCACCAAAGCATCGTAAACAAAAAAAAAGGGTAATGATAAAGTACCCGTCACGTACCCCTGCACGTTCCTGGCTATATATGTGGGCGTCGTACGCCTAAGTTCTTACAG